AACTCTCTGTGTATCCGTTGACAGATGAGCGGTGTTTAGTGCAATACTACTACTACTACTACTACGACGACGACGACTACGACTACGACTACGACTACGACTACGACTACGACTACGACTACGACTACGACTACTTCTACATCTACTTCTACTTCTACTTCTACTTCTACTTCTACTTCTACTTCTACTTCTACTACTACTACTACTACTACTACTACTACTACTACCACAACAACAAAAACAACAACAACATCATCAACAACAACAACAACAGCAGCTGCAGCTGCAGCTGCTGCTGCTGCTGCCGCGTTACTAAGTTCCTCATGCGCAGCTCAGAGCTCATGTACTACACTTCCTCGTGCACAACAGCCCACTTGCTGGTGGCATGGGATCCTCGTACGGCATGTATGGAGCCGTCTGCTCCTCGTCGGGGAAATTCACCATCGGCACCTGGAGTTCATGTCTGCACATGTCTGCTCGCTTGACTGGAACCGGCTCGCACGAATATGAGGCTCGCGCGTACGGTGGCTTCATTGCCAGACTTTCCATATCGTTCCACGAGAAATTTCCAACGCCCCAAGTGCAGTAGCCACGATCTCACGAATGAGCGACACCACCCATGCGACATCCTCCGGTGGTAGTTGATGATCATCACCCCTCGCAGCGTTTTCCAACCGCCCCAAAAGTGCATCAAGTTCACGAACACATTCAACACCAGGGTCGGTTTGCTGAAGGTGTTCACGTTCATACATATCAAGCTGCATGAACACACGGAAGTCTCCATCAGGCTCACGTTCACTATCGCTCACCCCAGCCACCGCAGAAGTCGAGGAGGTCGTAGACACCCCGTGTTCATCATATTCAACACTGCATTCTGTGGTTATGGTTGTCGGCGAGGAACTGCCCCAGGACGAAGGAGCTTGGTTCGCGATGAACGTGGGCAGCACCGCCTCGGGCTCATCTAGCGGCTGCCAGCCGGGAAAGGAGCGCATCTGAAGCTCCATGGCCTGAAACCTCGGACGCATGGCATCCGGCTCCGGCAGGGACCCAGAGATCGTTGCGATGAGGGGGATGGGCAGATCTCCCCCCAGTCGGGCCGTAGGACAGGTTCGAACCTTGACGACCGCAAGCTGCCGGGCCTTGGCTTCCAGCACCGAAGCTGCCGGCTCAGCTGCCACGAGGGCTGCCGCCAACATCGAGAGGAGAGCAAAGGCTGCCATCGGGAGATGTGGGGCAGTGTTCAAATTGGGCGCTAAGAGCTCTGGAGCGAACAAACGGCTTGACCCAAAATGGCTAGGGTTTAGGGTTCAGGGTTTGGCCTTACCTTCATAGGACCTTCTACAAATCGCTGAGCTTGTGACTTTTGGGGTGCCAAGGTAAGCTATCACATGCTTAGGGTTTAAGGTTTAGGGTTTAGGACTTAGAGGTTTGGGCTTCGTCTCGGGGGCTCGCACATGAAGATGGGTTTGTACTATAGGCCTTCGTAACGGAATCTTTCGGATTCAGGTCTGCCTAAACCCTAAACCCTAAACCACTAAACCACTAAACCCTAAACTTCTACGGTTTACGGTGTGGGCTCGTTGGGTTTCAGGCCGGCGACAGCTATGGGCAGAGGAGAAGTAGGGTTTGGGGTTTAGCGTTTAGGGTTCAAAGGGGATGGCGAGTGTAGTGTAAGGGCCTCAATAATTAGAACAGGGTTCCTTCAAGGGGTCTTTAAAACGGTTACTATAAAGGGTACTATAAGGTATTAGGGGTTAGGGTCTTAAAAATTAGAATAGGGTTTTGGGGGTCCTCCATAGTATTCATAGTATGTATAAATATAACACGTTGCAAGAACTAGAACTTAGAACCTGGGCAATACACACACACACATACACAAACGCAAAACTGAACAAGGTGCAACTGACAACAAGGCTAGCCACCCCGACGGAACGTTAATGGCTTCATTATGCGAGCCCTATAACTCCAAAACCCTACTGCCCTTTGAGGGGCGTTGTGTAACTATGGATCTTTCCGGGGGCTTCTGAATGTTAGGATGCTTAGAAATACCCATAACTTCAAGCAGCCCCCACATATGCTTGTAGCGGAGAAAACAAGATTGAAGGCTGCAGATTCGATGTCGGAAAAAGACTGAGTCTCGGTTCCCCGACGCCTAAAAATAGCACCCTACACCCTAAATCGCTATAGATCGAAACCCCAAAGCTGTTATCCTTTAACCCAGAAGCCGCCTTGACACTTGAAACGATATCGGCATTTCTCGCTCTTGCGTCAGTGGATCCGGCGCGATCCCCTTCAGGGAGCCCAGGCATACTCCGTAAATGCAATGGGCCATCGCGGGTTTCCTCATGGATGTTCCCGGCTGCCCAGACGCTCACTGACAGTTTCAGGCTGATTGTCTGCGTGATTGTTGCTTACGCGCTCGTCGGCGTCGGGCAAGGACGTTGTGCATGCGCCCTGCACCTATATACACGCAGGAATCAACAGTTTCCCTACAACTACGACACGATTACTGCCACTAGCATGAAGCTTAAGTAGGGCAGAGCCCACTCTTGAGCCCCTCTGCCTATCCGGCTAATAGGGCTCCAAAAATAACACTAGTTTGTCATCAGTCCATGAAAGCCTCCATCCCAGAAACCTCGTTCTTCGCTTAGTTCCAGAGGTACTGACCCATGTTGAAACTGTCAGGGTAGCTCCGAAAAAAGACTTGAGATATGTTCAACATTCGTGTCCATTTTGTTTTGATTTTACTCTGGATGAAGTAAAGCCTTAAAGCGGCACATCAAGCGGAACACGAATCTCGAACTGCACCTCGAGATGAAAGCAACACTATGGGCCCGAACCCTCGACCCCAAAACCCAAATGACACTTAACCAAACACGAAACACACTTGCTGTAATCGGCATACTGCCACTGCTACTGCTACTGCTACTGGTGCTGGTACTTCTACTGCTCCTGCTGCCGCTGCCGCTGCTGCTGCTGCCACTGCCACTGCTACTCCATCACCACTGCCACTGCTACAACTACCACTACTTGAACTACCACTGCCATCCTACTTCTGCTCCTACTACTCCTGCTACTGCTAGTGCTACTACTACTACTACTACTACTACTACTCCTCCTGCTACTGCTACTACTGCTGCTACTACTACTACTTCTACTACTACTACTACTACTACTAGTACTACTACACTGCTTCTTCCTCCACTGCCGCTACTCCTTCCGCTCCTAGTACGACTACGACTACGACGACGCCTGCTACTTCTACCACTACCACTACCACGCTGTGGCTGCCGGTGCCGCTACCACTATCATCACCACCACCACTTCCACTTCCACCAATCCTCTTACTACTACTACTACTACTACTACTACTACTACTCCTACTACTACTACTACTACTCCTCCTCCTCCTACTACTTCTACCACAACAACGACGACGACGACTACTACTACTACTACGACCACGACTGCTACTACTACTACTACTACTACTACTACTACTACCACTACCACTACCACTACCACTACCACAACAACAACAGCAACGACGACGACGACTACTACTGCTGCTACGACAACAACAACTACTTACTACTACTCCTCCTCCTGCGGCTGCTGCTGCCACCACTGCTACCTCGAATGCTCCTGCATTGCTGTTGCTCTTGCTACTGCTACTTATACTCCGACTCCTCCCGCTGCTGCTTCTGCTGTTGCTGCTACGACTACGACGACAGCGACGACGACTACCACTACTCCTGGTACTACTCCTGCTGCTGCTGCTAGTACTACTACTACTACTACTACTACTACAACTACTACTACGACGACGACGGCGGTGACTACTACTTGTACTACCACTACTACGACTACGACTGCTACTACTGCTACTGCTAATGCCAATGCCGGAATGATAACCGGGGCTAACAGGAACACAAAGTTCAAGGAAGTGCACTTTTGAAATCATTTTGTGCCGTCGCCTTGCCGTCACCACAAATCACCTCTTTTAAGCCAGGTGTAGAACCTTCCTTATCGAACATCTTCAGAGTGGCATGCAGCAACATCAGCAACAAGGAAGCCTTCGGGCAGGCGGGTCTTGCAGAGCTCGGTCATGCGCTTGAGGCCGCCGAAACCGTTGAGGCACATGATACCAGGGACGATGGGCACCTAGACGTGAGAGAAGGTCGGGTGGGTGGCCTGGCATGGCCGGGCAATCACGGGCAAAATCCTGTTCTCACAGTCGGACCTTGATGTCGTACTTGCGGCACTCATCGACAAAGTCCAAGAAAACTTGGGCATCGAGAAACATCTGCGTGATGACGAAGTGGGAGCCCGCATCCACTTTCTCCTTGAGATAGACCATCTCCTGCCAGTGCAGTGTAGAATTGTCCGTGGGGTCGGTAAGGGCGATACGTTCTGGACACGGGTCAGACAGCCATGCCCCTCCCCCGCAGGGATTTGAAGCATTTCGCAGTGCTCCTTGTGGAAGTTTGCATCTCGGCACACCGTGACCACCTCCTTTCCCTGAGCATCTGCTACGACGCGGGCGCGGCGCTTCTCCGAGGCAGTCAAAGCAGCCACACCACCTTCGACCACCTCGACAGCAACGTGCGCAAAAGCTGTGGGTTGCATGGTAGCTGGACATGCATGAAAGAAGCTATGACGTCACGAAGTGATGTGCTTTGCAGCTGCGTGCCCGCTGTAGGACTGCCAGGAAGGCCAGAGACTCGGAGAGGTGAGGCAGTAGAGCTGCTTTGGATGCGGGCCACAGCTATGCACAGGACATGTCTTGCTCATAACTAAACGACCCTCTTACGCCTTGACAGTACGATAGGATGTAGCATAAGCGGCTACCACATGGCCCAAGCTTTGTGTTCACGCTCATACCGGCCTCGATGTTATCAGGATGGCCCTCCGGATAGCCAGCCACAGACACGGAGAAATAATCGCCATGGTTTTGGCGGATGAACCTCATGTGCGGCAGAGGGATCCCTAATATATTCCTGGGCCTTCCATGAAGCACATCTATCACCATCTGCTCGCACAAGATTTCAACTCCTAGGCCGACCCCTCAACCTTCGAAGCCAAACTTCGCAGCGCATGCATCTCGGGCACTTTACGAGGTCCAACGCGCTTGAGAAACCACCTGCAAAGAGCGTAGCTGGGGAAAGAGGGCGAGAACAACCAGAGCATAACCAGACTTGGCAAGCCGAAGCCATACAAACACCCCATACAGAAGCAAGCAGTCGAACAGTCCCCGATTCCAGCCACCTTCTGTAGCCGTCCACTTCTCCTGACCACGAGGTGGGTCGCCGCGGAGGGCAACGATGTTGCGGACACCGTGCTGCTTGCACTCCAGAAGTGCCTTCGAGTCGTGGGTCTTGGGCTAATCTTTGCAGTAGGGTGTCTGTGTCTCTGTGTGTGTGTGTGTGTGTGCAAAGACATCGGCAATTTCCGACTGAGTGTGCGCAACTTCATATCGGTACAACACTCACGTATAACTTATCCATATGAGGAAATAGCATAAAAACTGTGTAATCTGAAGAGAGTTCCGGTCATAAACTCAGAAGAACAGGCAAGCTTGTCGAAGCGAATTGAAGCTGGGTGGCATTCCCCGTCATTTCCGAGCTTTGGTTGGTGCAGGTCAGGTGCATGTTGGCTACCGTGCCGAACTCGTTCTTAGCCTCGCACGTGGAACGCCCTTACTATGGAACATGTGGCGCAACACCTTGTCCGGCAGGGGTCCTTCTAGGTCTGCAGGTGAATCTTCTGCATGACGGAGGCCCATGTTGCAAAGTCCGTCAATGGCAGAGCACTGGCTGACGACTCTTGCCTCCCTTTTCTGACCGAGAGGCTGCGGAAGTCAACTTCAGAGTCAGCTCTGATGTGGAGCCGCCCGCGCCCCAGGTGAAGTCGGTGAAAAGGGGGCCCAACGACTTCATCTTCACCTCCATGGGATTTTGCGAGATGGACTAATTCAACACGCACCGCTCCGTTCCGCTGTTGCTCGCATAGTCCCAGGCACAGGAAAGAAACAAGATGCAAGCATGCGTTGCCAAGTGGCGATGCGCTTGCGGAGATTCTCGACACCCTCTGGCGTCTTCGGCGGGAAGTACTCGAAGGAAAACCAGCCTGGTGGAACCTCCGTCTTGGAACTCTGTTTCGGTAGGGGGGTTCTTCATGTTACTACCTCCTACAGATGTCGTCCGGCTGCGGGCTGGCATCATCACGCATAACCTCATCGCTGTATTGCCAGCTCCTGCCTTCTCCACCAGGTCGGAAATCTTGTGGTCGTCGGGATACATCTGCGCCATGGCTCTCAATTACGAGGACGGTGATGGAAGCCGCGGTCTGCAAATCGGCGTTGGCGCTTTGCTGGGTTGCTTTGTGCTGTCTGCAACGGAGCCGGCGAGAATGCATGCGGCAAGTGGACATCAAGAACAACGGCGTGGGGCTAGATCACCAAGTGACTGTCATCAGACAAGGACTTTCCAGTTACCACATGAGAGAGCTTCCGCAGCAAGTCAAGACCAAAAGGACACGAGATTCAGGTATCCTCAAACCTTGCGCCACAACATGGCTCCAGCGGAGCCGGCGTGCATGATATCTGTAAGTTCACCGGTACTAAGTCAACATGTCAATCCTTCATGGCTTGATCTACATGCACAATGGAATGGCAACTAATCGCATGCAGACGCTTCTTCTGTGATTGTGTGAAGCCTACATAAGCCACCCGAGTCCTGTCGAAGCCCGAATTCTCGTGCCACAAAGCTAAGGCACCAAGAGATCGCACATCAACCCTAACACCCAAAGCGCTCTCATTAACTCAAAGTGCGTGCTAGAATCGAGTTCAAGCAGCCTCTTACTTCGTTGGAGCTCTGCAAGATTGAAAATGGGTGAGATCACAACGAGCAGACTGAGAGTAAGTCGGGTTATTACACACTTATGAAGTCTTGGCTCGGCAATGCATCTCCCAAGACTCGCTTCCTCAGGCGGGTCGAAGTTGATGACCAAGGTGATATCCTGCATGGTCATGCCAAGACCCGTTGGTTTGTCGATCCTCAAAGTAGCTGTGGGTCTACTGGCACAAAGGCTAGCAACAAGATGCCATCCTTGATGTCCAGACCTCGCCCGGCAATGCTGGTCGCCACCTTGTGATGCACGCAAAAAACCAGATGAGTTCGAACCTGCTTCTGCTGAGATCTCTTCATTCATCTGCATAACCAATTCACGTAACCTTCGCTGTAGGTCTGCATCCGATGGTCCCTTCCAACACCAGGAATTGAAAGGTAAACATGGGCAGGGGCCATGATCCAGGAGTCACCGTTGCGGAACTTCTGCATCGCCTGAGCAGCCAAACCGAACGCACAGTGGTAGTTTCTTCCGGTGCACAAGTCATGGTGGTTGTGAGCCATACGATACGACTTGTTTGAGTCGAAGGCACTCCTCACGCTTTCACGAGAAGCTGGACTTGCTCGCAAGTAATTAGGGGATGTGGAAAGCGGAACCACTGATCGCCCCACCTTCAAGAGCTCAGATAATCCAACCAACTCCTGAGAAGACCCCACCCTGACGCCTGGAACCTTCCGACCAGGTCTGTGTCTCGAAAGCTCTGTGCTCCTGGCAGTTTCACGCTCGGCTTGTTTCTTGTAGCCATGCAGGGTCTCCACCTGTGCGAGCTTTGGGAAAAGACTCAACTTGACAGCTTCAAACTGCGCTCTTTCGGGAAGCCGATTCCGAACCTGTAATGCACTCACAAGGAACTTTCCCTTGTAGCTAAGAGTTGCGCGGGAACGCCGTTGAGCGCCGCCTGTTGCATCAAGGCAGCAGCAAGTAGTTGGGCTGCATGGGCTTCAGCGGCACATCGCTGGCACGGAATGCATACAACTACGCATACAAGTAGGCGTATCTTGCCTTGACTTTCTTTGCCAAGGAATCGCACTCGTCATGATCAAATGCGAAAATGAGAACCTGGCGACTTGCGCAAAGGTTTTGTCGTGTGGTTTCCGAGCCCCACACACACAATGATAAGAGACTGAGTGATACAGTGCTCGATCTGCAGAGACTGGGTGATACTCGATCCGTGCATTCTGGCTCCGCCATCTATAGTTTCGGCTTAGTTTCGACCAACCACTCAATCCTTCTGCATCTTGTAACTGGCTAGGTAGTTCCCATGCTTGCATGACTGTCTGAGCTCACCTTTCCTGGAGACTTGTTGTGAGCACTGTACCTTGGATCAGTGAGCAGGCCCCATGCAATCCCATCAGCTGTCCGTCCAAACATACACAGTAGACAGCAGCTGCCACATTGCTGCCACTGAAATAGCAAGGGTGGTCGAGTTATGGCAGTACTGGCAGGATTGAGTGCCAAAATCTGGCGACAGCTTTGCGAATCAACGCAGCCCTAGAACGAACAACCTGTCAGCAGCCGCCCTTGTCAAAACAGTCGCGGATGCATGCTACGCCAATGCCAAGCTGCACTTTCCGCAAGGTGCTTTTCAGAGCACCTTCCTTGTCGAACTCGTCCTTCACCTCATCGAACACATGTTCCAGAATCTGCGTTCTGTAAAAGATGACTAGTTTCAAGTATCTCAAGAAGCAGCTTTCTCATTTGGGCAGCGCTCTAAAGGTACCTGTATATTAACTGGACCCTAAGAGGGACCCTAATCTAGAGAACTACCCCTGCAGGCTTGCTTGGGTTTGTCACTGAAATTACTTCCTGCAAGCACCTTGCGAGGAGACTGCGCGACCATGCAGGAACACAAGAACTACTGCCGAGATCTTGGCGATGATGACCTCTTGCTTGACGTCTCTGTTCGCCCGTAGCGGATCCTGAGATCTCAGGCCATTCTAAATCCCTCGCTGCGAATTCGAGGAACGACGGATCAGATCCTTCCAGATTCAGTCCTTCATTCCGACTCGAACCTCCACGGCATGTCGGCCTCGGTCACGAGCGCGGCAGAGCAGAGCCATCTACAGACTGTGAAGGCAGAACAGATGCATGAATCGTAGGGCTGTAGGATTTCTTCCTGGGGCCCTGACTGATCCAAGTTGCCAGGTCGCTGACCTTGACACAGTTGGCAGAGGCAATGCATTGGCAGGATGTGTTGGTGTTATGCGTCTTGTGCTTGTAAATGATGCAGAATTGAACTGTCTTCACTGTGTTCATGTTCACCTGGAACAAAGGTAGCAACTCCGCTGATGAAGGGACTGTCCGGGAGCTGGGTGAGGGATTGTCAGGCAAAGCAAGCCTAAGTTAGGTCGAGTATAGTGTGTCCACAAGGCAGGCGCAAGCGATGTTAGCTCCCATGCAGCCACTCTGCAAAGCATTTCGCTACGCGATCGTGGCAGTGACGCCAACAATCGTTTCCAGTACGTTCTGGTGGCAGTGTTCTTCACCGCGTGAACTTTACTTTGCTGGCATCCAGAAACTGCCTGCACTGATGAGGCTGCGAGGTACTGCACACTCAGCTACGCCTCATTCTCTGCTGATTCTACGCAGAGCTTGCCAATCTCAGATATAGTAGATACGACACGACAGAAGCGATTGCTCCATGCAAAGACTCCGGTGGGGGGCAACAAAAACAGAGCGCAACATGGCGGTGTTCCCATCCGGCGTGTCCTAGCCGTGCTAAACAACGACTAAATTAACCTCCTGGGACGGACACGTCATCTGCGAAGGTAGCTGAGAACAGCATTGTCTGCCGGCGCCTTGGAGGGGGCGCGGATCCCCCACTCAAAATGTAATCCCATGCTGTTGAGAATATCACTTTATAATAAGGGGGTCAAGTCCTAACCAACTTCAAGTGTTAGCCAGCATCTTGAGCGACTGATCTCAGCATCCAGCGGCGTCTCCACGTCGCAAGTGATTTTACGGATGTTTGCATCAAGTCCTGGCTCCAGCTAGTTGCAGAGACTCGCATAAGCCTGGACCGGTTGCACAGTGCAGCGCCCAGATCAGAATGACCGCAACTATACGATGATGACTCACTATGCGCAGGGATACTGAATATGCTTTTATGTGTAGATTCCCCAGCATGGTAAATGACTAGCATAATGTGCCACACATATCTTCTCTAGGTAAGACTGAATCTATTTATGTGTGCTCGCCTGCGTGTACCATGCATAGAGAGGCATACGAAAAGTCTACGCACTTTTCTCTGTCTGTGACATTATGTTGTGCACCATCAACAGTCATCACGACATAGACCTGTCCACGCGCCTTCTCCGATCATGGCGTCAGCCTGTGCTTGACTCGGGCGCGACTTCAAGGGCCAGATCCAGGGGCATAAGAGGAGATGATTGGAGAGTCTTAGGATGTTCGTTTTTCCTTGGGCTCTTTTCCAACTGCATGAAACTCGCTTGAAGTCCTCTACGCCTCTTTTGTGACACCAGTCCAGTCCAGGTGAAACCCTCCTTACGATAAACCCTGACGCCCCTGCCAGCATCCCCTACGGAATTTCAGAACATTCAGTGTCTGGTTTGTTGGGGTTGAGATGATTGAAGATTTCGAATCAGGGTTCAGGTGCATGAATTTTGAGTCAGGCTTGGAGGATGAGGATTTGCAGGTCTGAACTAGAAGTTGAAAGTATGCCAGTCCAGCTAAGATGCAGGAGCACGGCCAGGAAACACTTTAAAAAGAGCGATCCTTACCATGGTAGCTTGTTCTTTTGCATTGTCTCGATGTGGAGGTAATCACAAGTGAAAGGAGTCCTCAGGGCCAAGGACCTGGAGATAGACAATGATGGTACAAGCATGTCTGGAAGCCGAGAAGAGGTCATCTGCAACAGTGGTGCTGAAAGACAGGCTGCCCAACAGCTATCGAAAAACACGACCATCACAGTAGCAGCTGTCAGCCCAACATTGGAGCTCTGCTCTCTCTTGTCCCCTCTGTTGACCCTTCTTCGCCGCATCATCACATGCTGCCCCGCTTCAGAGAACAAGAGCTGATATACGGTCGAGTGTATCGGAACATCATGCTGGCCACGCCGCACCCTTCAGCTGTCCAGCCTCGTCCAGGATCAAGAAACGCACATTTCTGACTCCGAACCTCGGCCATGCTCCGACTGGGGAGGGCGGGGTCCCACCGGGTGCAGCGGCCCACGGTTGGACGATACTGGATGGAAGGAACCGTGGAAAACACAGAAAGAAAAAGCGTCCACTGCGTCCAGACTTTGCCAGTCTTAGTCGTCTTAATTGGTCTTTCCAAACCCTCCAGAGGCGACTGCCAGTGCTTCTCGTTCTCGATGAAATCAATCAGCCGACCAACTGTGCCGACCTCTAATTGACGATGAATGCGTGGATTGTAGACACGGGGATGCAGCTGCACGCGCAAGCAAAAGGAGCTGTACTGCTGAGCGTTGCGTCGAAAGGCTTCTTCAAACAAGTGAACATACAAGCATCAAACTGCTACCGTAAGATCGCGGCCACACATTCCGGTCGCTCGCGCAACCGCCCGAGCCTGCGTTGCATATTTGCTTGCGGCTGCCCGAACATACGGGCTTAACCAGCACTCTGGAAAACATCTGAGCACTCGTCGTCTCTCGACGAGTCCCTTCGCCGCCATAGCCTCATCTGACAACGAATTGACAGCAAGGAAATAGTTCGACTTCAGTTGGAGCCACATGCGACATGCATGCGTGGAAGTTCAACAGACATAAATGACATAAACGCATACCAATGTATTCGCCGCCGACGGCCGCTGCACTGTAGACGCTACGAGCTCCGCAAAGACTTGAGGCTGCCCTGTATCTCTGCGATCAGCTGTAAAGTGTCCGGGATGTGGGCAGGCCAGGGTGACGATGCCGGTGCTCGCGGTAAAGCGTCGTGCCTGCTCGCACGACCACAAGGAGCTGAGCAACAGCATCACACTGTGCCACACCAGGATTGGAGCTAAACGTATCACACCTTTTGCCCGGTCTTCCTGCATTTATAGGCCGACCCTACTTTCCCAACGGTGAAGCCATGAAGCTCTCTCAAACCGGGAGCATGTGGTCCCATTCTTCCGAAGCTTGGAACTGCGAGCCTCCGTCTCGATCTGGGCCTGACAAGAGCTTAGCTTACTCAAGGGCGTGCCGACAAAGGAACTATTCTGGAAAGCGAACTCCTGGCCACCGCTGAACACCCGGCTATTCAGAGATGTTTCTCGAACCATGCTTTGTATCTCAGACACAGAGCTGCACGAACTCACAAGTGTAGCTGCAAAAGCGTGAACATTCAGATATCGTGACAGCAAGCATCCACTACGAAGTTTTGACTGCCCCAGTGACAGTCGCAAATTCAGGTATCAGCACAGCTTATATTCGGCCTAGACCATTTCTGCGCCGACGAATGCTCATAAATTGAGAGTTCCCTACAGACACCCTGCAGTGCAGTGCGCAAATTCATCGCTCATCCTAGCTGTGCCACGAATAAACGGATGTGCAGCATGATTGCATTTGCCTTGGCTGACCAGTACACTGCGATCGTTCGACAGTCTACCTTCCTGATGATGCATGTTTCGTTGTGATGCCATGCTGGGTCTCTGGGTGGCTGGCCGCTAACTCCCGTGAGGGTGCCATGATCAACACCTGTCTTTCAGGATTCTGTGTTTGAGTGTGTGGGGGGTCGTGCGAAAGGGGATGAAGGGTCTCCAAGGAGGCATACGGTCCCCAACTAGGAGGGGGATCGTGACCTGGTTTACGGTAAGCAAGTGCTCCCAGCTTTCAAGAGCGACCCAGCACCAGTATTGTCAAGCCCAAGGAGTCTTGACTCAAGAGCATGGGACTGATGTACCAGTCTGAAAGCTACGTGGCATCTTCCAGCCGGCCTCTGGGGAGTATGCCCCCGGACCAGCAGCTTGTTTCTGCATCTGCACCTCGGACACTACGAGTCATTGCAGGATAGCTTCCAAAGATCAGCGCGCAGCACAGATCTTGCCCTGCATGACTGCATTCACCGTCGGCATTGATGCTGCATTGTGAAACCTCTTGTAGTTCACCTTTTCAAGCCATGGTTGTCCCTGCAAGGAATTCTGGGGCTTTGGCCGGGAGCGAGGAGTCGTCATTTGGACCAGTGCCAGTGCCCATCCTGCAGAATTGGGGCTCGAAGAGCCCGCAAGGGGCAGCTGCACGCTGTCCTGGAGCGCAGACCTTCCTTCAAAAGCCGCGAGAAGCCTTGGAAGCCAGACGCTGCAGTCTGGAGGAAAGCCCAGCTGAGAGACCCACAAGGAAGCAGGAATGCCAGCGTCTTGCCAGAACCGGTCCTAGACAGAGCTGGCCAGTGTCATTGCGTCCTTCCCTGCTACGACGTGCGCCGCCAACGAGCAGAGAGTGGTCCTTGCAACGCCGATGAGGTCTCGCCCAGAGCAAAGGATGGGCCAGGCTTGTGCCTTCGTGTGCAACGAAAGAAACCGGATAAGGCTTGTCGGCAACTTATCGGGTAGCTCCCGTCTGCTTCACGGTGTTCAAACATCTCGCAAGATGTTTCGATGTTCGACCATACAGATACCTTGCCTGGATCGGCGTTGGCTCCGTGAAGCCTCAGCAATGGGAGGGATTCCTTCACTTGGTCAGTTAGTGTCAATGTACTAGTCAGCCTGCGCCACGCATCGCATCCACCAGAGTCTTCGTGAGACCATCTTCGGCAGCCTGACAGCAGCCGGCAAAGCTTCCGGTGTGTCAACGCAGGGTTGACGGCTTTGCAGCCACCTTGCATGTTACCCGAGAAGGCATGAACTGGGCTGAGGCAGCCTGTCAATACTCAAACAACTTTTCACACCCTTTCCGGAGGTTTGTCTCCAGCCTAGCCACCAATACCTAACAAGCCCTATTCCGAAACAGCATTCAGAGGCTCAACCCGAAAGACCTCTCCAACTCCAACCTGTTGCTGACGAGCAGAAGGGAGCGCAACCTGAACAAGTCGCTGACGGAGCAGATCCCCCGCAGCCTCCAGGCTTGTCCAGGGTGCCCACAGGTCCTCGCCATCCACTCCTTCGCCATGTTCAGGTGTTCTTCCAATCCGCTGCTGATGGGAGACTTGAGGGTGCGTGAAACCCCCCGCCCATTTGCTTGACCCTTAACATGGTTATCGTTTTTTGCTCGTATCGTTTTACAGGACCTTGAGACTGCATGATCTGAGTTAATGTTACGAGCATTCGATATCGTTCGTTTTTAGTGTTATCGCTGTGCAGGGAATTTCGTTGATCTCAAAGTACGGACACGTCTACTTTGAAAAAAAGCTATCGGATTTTCTTTATCGTCCCTCACTTGGAATCTGGATACCTTTTGTCCTTAAGCTCGCAGTCAAGTAGCATCTGCCTCCAACCATCACCCTCCCCCTTTTCCCCCATGCCGCTACAGTACCCTCTTCCTGATTCCTTTGCGGCTGTGCTTAGTTTCTTATGTAAGAAGAAATGTTTTTCTCGTTCCGACCTCCAGGCCTTCAGCCAGAACCGTTTCTGACATCACGGTGTGGAGTTGGATGTGCTATCATGTCTATGCATCTCCGTGCCTGTTCTGGATGCCTGGAGTTCGTCGAAGACCTGGCTGTGAGAACAGGTAGTACGCGAATGTCAACACTATTGGTTTTCCTTCAGTGTCTATGCCTTGTTACCACATTTAGAGCATTGAAGAGCGCTGGTGACGCGAATCTTGGGAAGCTGTCCCCCGGCCGTGCGCTGCAACGGCGAAA